CGCGTGGGCGGCGCCGGCGTTTGGGGGTTGGGGGTTGGCGGCTAGGGGCCGCGTCGGCGCAGCTGCGCCGCGGCGCGAGGGCTGCGGGGATGCGGCGCCCCGCCAGCAGCGGCGGCAGGTCGTTCGTCCCGCCGCGGCGGCGGCAGCGCCTGCGCCCCGCGGGGCCCGGCTGCGGGCGGCTAGTATGAGCGGCGCTGCTGCGGGTACCGGGCTGGCCGCGTTCCGCTGACTGCAGCAGCTTCCGCCCTCGTGGAAAGGGCGCCCCTCCCAGCGCCTGCTTTGTACACCTCCCGTTGCCAGATCCACCGTTGCCGTTGCGCAGGCCTGGCCTCTCGGCGCGCGTTTGACTCTGTGTGTTTTCGCGGTCCCCTCCAGATGGGGCGCGCCAGTTGAGCGTAGAGCGCGGAACTCGAAGATTTGCGGTCAACAGCTGCGGCGGTGTTGTGGGCGAATGACACCTGCGTTCGTCGCCGCATGGTTGCGTTGAGCCCCTCCAATTTCGCAAACATACCATGGCAAAGGGTTTGCAACAACCTTAAGGCAAGCCACGCCGCTCACTTTGCTCGCACGCTCCATCTTGGTGCGTTGTGGGGCGATGTGAGCGCTGTGTCTGGTCTCCCCCATTCGGTCTCAGTCCATGTAAGTTTCCTGCCTTTTGATTCACTGAATGAGCGGGGTGCATATCACAGCCTTCATTTTCAGTGACACGTCACCGGATACGAATGCAGCCATCATACGACACGAGCAGTAAACTTATTACTTGCGATCTGGCACACCCAGCTGTGCCACGGTGTCCACAGCTGTTGCAGTCACCGAAAACTTGTTTTGCCCATAGATCCCATTGCTTTCGTTCCAGTTTGTAAGCCAGGTTCCTACGGTAGTTTGATCTGTGCATATCACAGTCACAAACTGAGCACAGCCAACCAAGAAGAGCTTGTGATATACTAAACCAAAACACACTTTCCTCGAATTTCTTCTGCACGAACGGTAGAGTGGCGGCGGGAAGCAGCAGCAATGGTGGCAGCACAAACGGCGACGACGCTCGGCGCCTTGCTGCTGGTGCACAGCATTTTTGCCATCTCCAAATGTGAGATCTCAGCCATCATGGCCTCAACGGTGCTGTCCTTGCAGTACCCAAGGTGCCACATAGAAGCGGGTTGCTCAACACATGGAGCCGACGTCACGCATGCAGGGGTACCGCACCTAGAGGGCCGTCCCCCCCCCCCCCC